ATAGGAGAGAAATAATGATTCATCATAGGTTATTTTGTAGAGTGCATGCCATTGAAACTGATAAACCTGATCTGACGGTTGCTGAACAAAAATTCCAGAAAGTCAAGGATGAAATTATTGCAGAATCATTTGAACGAGTTGAAAAAATTGCTAAGTTGATGGTATTCAAGTCAGCTTATTCACAACTTTATTAGTTAATTTTTTTTTTTTTTTGGTAATTTGGGATATCTTTCCGAAAATCTCAAACAAATAAATTTATATTTCTCACTGTAACAAGCAGTGTTTAAATGATAAATTTAGTCTTGTTTAGTTTTATTAAACTTAATATAATATTAAACTTTAGAAGAAAAAGAAAACACACATCCAGGATGCGTTATTTGCAACGTTAAATGCGAAAAAGGTATTAAATGAAATGGATACATTAAAAAAGCAATTAAACCAGTTCGACGAAGAATATGAATCTATAATGGTATTTTTATAAATTCATAAATGTCAAGTTTTGTTGTTTTGATAATTTCGAGTGATCGTTTAGAATTTTATCAACAACAAATCTTTCCAGAAAAAACTACTTTTAATCTTTTTTTCTAAATTTAAAGGATGCAATCAGACTTACTGAAATAGCTGTAAAAAAAGCAATGCAAAGAATAAATGAAGATAAGCAGCGATTGTATGAATCAATTGGTATTGAAGATTCGTCTACAAGTGAAGCAGCGAGTGAAGCATTGGAAATATTGAAAAAAGTTCGTTGGATAATTTCAATATTCTTTGTTGTTGCATAGAAAATTTGTTGTATAGATATACTATACTATTGAAACTGTTTTGATTGAATTTAGATTATTTTGAAATTTGTCAGCAAAAAATTTTACAATATTATCAAACTTATGAATATATTATGGATATCTTGTTCCTTATATAGAATTTCATATTGAACAAGGAAGGCTTTAGATAATTTTCCTTAGAATAATTTTCAATGATTTAATGGTAACTTCAAATCTATTTTCTTGATTTTATTTCCTTGATTGTAAAATTTTAGAATTTTGATAGCTATAATATTCCGAACACTAAGGATGAAATAGAACTGCAAATTGCACATGAACAAGGAAAACTTGATGCACTATATAGTGAAGGAGAGAAAAAAGTTAGTTTCAGTGTTTAGTTTTTTGTACACATCGTAATCTTTCACTTTTTTTTTTTTGTTGAACTGTTAAATTAATTTTATTTTAGATTAAAATGTTGTATTTTCATGAAAGGAGTTTTTTTTTTTTTTTGCTTATGTTTGTTATGTGATATCATATTTCAGGATATTGAACGTTTCGAAAAATTAACACTAGAAAAACAATCTCTCATTAAAGAAGTCACTGCTATAAAAAAAGATGTATGTGATGATCAGCGTAATTTTCTTTTCTTAATTATTCTTAATTAATTATTTTTATTCTTAATTATTCCATTTAATTGCGATGAGAATTTTACGAGATAAGCATTTTGGATAGAAATTTATGTATCATAAATGTGGACAAGTAGAGATGATTGTATGAATATGCTTGTTACTATTTTTAAAAGTCTAAAGCACAAGAGAATGTGAAAGCGTTTTTATCCGTTGTTAGAAATCTTAATTTGATAGTAATATAATAATATGAAATTGCTTTAATTTTTTTTTCTTGTATTCATTATTTTAAGGTCAGTGAGTGGGAAAATAAACTCGATTGTTTGCTAGAACAGTGGCTACATCAGTTGGAAAATGTCGTTGGAAAATTGAATCAATATTTTAGTTCTTTCTTTCAAAATATGGGATGTTCTGGTGAAGTTCATCTTCAGAAACCTGATGATAAGGTAATCAGTTTGAGTTTTTTTTTTTTTTGGTTATCAAAAGTTTTGCAGAGTATTTCTTCAATTTTTGCATGATTTATGAATAAATTTTCCGTTATATATGCAGTTGAAGAGGATTCTTTCATTTCCTATTCTTTTTTCATATTGTATCTTAAATGATAAGAAGAATAGGTCATCTTTTAGTTTTTGAATGAAAATGAAAATCACTGTTTGTTCGAATTATTTTTTCTCAATTTTTACTTTGCAGTATGATATTTCAAAGTATGGTATCCTAATAACTGCCAAATTTCGTGAAAGTGAAAGATTTCGTGAGCTATCACATCAGGTGAGAAAGCTTGTGGATATTCAAGTTTTCAGTTCTTCAACTCTATTTATTTTTGTTTTGCTATTTCTTTGAAATCTTATTTTTATTAAACTTTCAAAATAATGAATAGCTTAACTATTTATACATTTATCATTCCTGAATAATTTTACGATTTACAGACACAATCAGGCGGTGAACGTAGTGTGATCACAATGTTATATATTTTAGCACTGCAAAAGCTAACAGTTGTACCATTTCGCTGTGTTGATGAAATTAATCAGGGTATTATTAAGTTTATTGATGATTTCTAATCGAAATCAAGTTTATATTAGCCGAAAAATTGATTATAAACTTAAATGAGAGACAGAATAATGTTTTATTAGATTTTTTCATAGTGAGATATTCTCTCTCTCTCTCTCTCTCGTCTTGAATTCGAAATTAATTAAACTGTAACTCGTGCTGTTACACCTCAAAATCATTCTTATTGGTCTTAATCAAATTAAACTCATCAAATACATTTCCTCAATGCTAAAATAAAATTCCGGGATTTATTCTGATTCGTCGTACTGTGCGGTGTTATGTTAATCTAGGATTTTCCTAGTATTTAACTGAAGAATAAAACAAGAATGTTATTAGTCAAATGAATGTTAGTACATGAATAGATAGATTTATTTATTTTTGAATTTTTGAAGAATATTTCAAATTAGATAATCAATGGGAACTAATATTTTTTCTTCCTTTTCAGGAATGGATCCAAAAAATGAAAAGATTGTATTCAATATGATTGTAGATATGCTTTCTAGCGATAATGATTTAGCAAAAACCCAATATTTTATGTAAGTTTCTTTAATATTATATACTAGAAGCATATTATCTTGCTTAATAGTAAATATGAGTTGAAAATAGGAATGTTTTACATACCCATACATTGCATATGACAATAATTAATGTTAATAGCATAGCAGTTTTGAAAATAAATTTCTTAGTTTTATTTTTATGATTGTAAAATTTTCAGACTTACTCCTAAACTAGTACCTGATTTAAAATTTAACCAAAAAACGAAAATTCATTGCATTTATAGTGGAGGAAAGCTTGATAAACGTAAAGTAAGTTTATTATTAATTTAGTGATTTCATTCAAGTATTCCATTTTTTTTTTTTTTTTTAATAACTAATAAAATGTTTTCCATTTAGTGATTTCACTCAAGTATTCCATTTTTTTTTTTTTTTTTTTATAGCTAATAAAATGTTTTCCATTTAGTGATTTCATTCAAGTATTCCACTTTTTTTTTTCTTTTTCTTGATAACTAATAAAATGTTCCACAAATGATAAAAAATACAGGGATAGGAGGAAAAAAAAATGTATATTTTAGAAATATTTTAAGGAAATAAATTTTATATCCATAAATAAATTTTATACTCACCGATAATTGTTTTTGTATATGCTTGATATTTTTAAAAATAGATGAAAAATATTTCCACAAGATAAGACACCTTAAGACATTACTGTTTATTATGTCAGGATGTTAATTGAGTTATATGAACTGAAATATGAATAGCCTGCTTCACATTTTAAAATCGTTTTGTAACGTACAAATTCGTACGAAAAAAAAAAAAAAAAAGTACAGATAAGATTTTTTAGGAGCAAAACGAAAGAATTAAAATTTTGAGGTGAATTCAAAAGGATGGTAAACGAAATTTGCTTTAAATATTAATTAAAGGGCAATAGTTTAAATTGGAATGTTTTCAGTTTTTCAATTAAAATTTCAAATGAAAAATTTTCATATTTATTATTTTCATTGTAGAGCTGGAATGTTACGGATTTTCTTAAAAGTATGAGCAATCAACAAATGGTTACAGAAATGGAAGCAGTATTGTAGTGATGTTACTATAGTGTTTCTATTCTTAGAAATTAAAATGATCTCATGTTTCACAATTTTGAATTTTGATTTCTAATTTTTTTATGAAAAAATTTTCTTTATATATATTTGTTTAATTTCATTGTAATTTTTAAATTAGCGTACTTTTTCCATTTTAATTTCTTACTTTGATGTATCAAATTTGATAGTAGCGCGCTTTTTTTTTTTTTTTTTTTTTTTTTTTAATAATTTGTGAATTTCATATAATTCATCTCTAGTTTTTTTTTTTTTTTAATTTATTCCTTATCCAATGAAAGATCTAACTTTTTACGGGTCATTAATTTTCATCTTGATTGATGTATTTGTTTTCGTTGTGCCTTGTATTATCTTTATGGTCTCATTTTGTTGTTTTGTTTTGGAAAAAAAAAAAAATGCTACTGATTAGTTAAGAATTTTTAATGAAAAGAGAAGTATAGATTTTTTTTTTTAGATATAATTCACTCTTAAAAATTTTATAGATATAATTTTTTTAAATTGCAAATTTTTGGAAGAACAGAACTGTTTAAAGAAGTAATTATTACTGATCGTCTTGAGACATAAATTTTCTTAAAGAGTTATTATATATTGTATTGCATTCATCTTGCAAGTGCAAGTTTATAAAATTTCATCAAATAAAATTTCCAAGCAAATTTTTAGTTTTCTTAATCACATCTGATAAGCATATTATTTTCTGAAAAAGATTAGTAATGTTAAGTTATCTTTTAAACTGTAATTCTCGACTGATTAACACTAATGATAACTATTGCAGCAATACTTCTTTGATATCTCTGCCAGTAGTTTTCATTTAAGATTTTCTCTTTTTTATTTTAAGATTACTTTTCAGACTTAAGCTTAAATGATTTAATCCTTTTTCTTTTCTATTTTTTTTTTTTTTTGAAAATATATAAAATAAAAATTAATAATTCTGATTTATAGATGCGCATAATGTATTAAACAGCAATAACTGATCATTTAAAAGCGAAATGGTTGCTGTATTCGTGGTAATACGAAATCATCTTTTTTCCTACTATTATGATTTACAGTAAAAAAATTTGCGGATGTTTCTTTTGGATTAATCCCATTTAACGTACGTGGAAGTGATCGACCATATCGTGATTGAAGTTTTATCATTGATTCGGTTGGTTTTAAGCGTGTTTGAGGACGACTTATTCGTTTTGTATGTATTCGTGATGGTAGCAAGTAAATTTCAACACTGCAATATTTAATTTGAATTTGAATTTGAATTTGTATGCTTATAAATACAATAAAACTAAATGATTTATTATTGAGAAAAAGAAAAAGAAAAACTTATTTCAGTTAAATAATCTTTAAATGAAGAAAATTTATTTGAAGTAATAAAAAGTAAGCAGTATTATATTAAGATGTTTTTTTCAGAGATTATATATTTATGATGTATTTAGTATTATATTTAAAGTATTATTTATGATATATTTAGTATTATATTTAAAGTATTATATTTAAGATGATTTTTTTTTCAGCAAAATATATTAAGATGATTTTTTTCAGAGATTATATATTTATGATGTATTATATTTACTATTATATTTAAAGTATTATATTTAAGATGATTTTTTTTTTTTCAAATATATTAAGATGATTTTTTTCAGAGATTATATATTTATGATGTATTATATTTACTATTATATTTAAAGTAATAAATACAATAAAACTAAATGATTTATTATTGAGAAAAAGAAAAAGAAAAACTTATTTCAGTTAAATAATCTTTAAATGATGAAAAATTTATTTTAAATAATAAAAAGTAAGCAGTATTATATTAAGATGATTTTTTTCAGAGATTATATATTTATGATGTATTTAGTATTATATTTAAAGTATTATTTATGATTTATTATATTTAGTATTATATTTAAAGTATTATATTTAAGATGATTTTTTTTTAAGCAAAATATATTAAGATGATTTTTTTCAGAGATTATATATTTATGATGTATTATATTTACTATTATATTTAAAGTATTATATTTAAGATGATTTTTTTTTTTCAAATATATTAAGATGATTTTTTTCAGAGATTATATATTTATGATGTATTATATTTACTATTATATTTAAAGTATTATATTTAAGATGATTTTTTCTAAGCAATATATATTAAGATGATTTTTTTCAGAGATTATATATTTATGATGTATTATATTTACTATTAAAGTATTATATTTAAAATGATTTTTTTTTCAAATATATTAAGATGATTTTTTTTCAGAGAAGAATAAAAAAAAAAGAAACATACTTTCGACAGTTTTCATGATTGATTTGAACACGTCGCAATCGTGCCGATCTTACGCCATTACTTCTCAGAGATGAGTCACAATATTCAAGTAAATGATGCACTTGTTCTGACAGATATAGGAAAAATGGAAATTTCAATTGAGCAATGTAATAAAATAGATAGAGAAAGCCATGAAATGATAAACCTAAAAAGTATATCAATTGATAGTTTTGGTATAATTATGAAAATTAATTGTTGATTGTATATTATGCAAAATAATATTTTAAAAATGAACTATTAACTAATTTGTGAGTTCGTTGAAACGTTGAAAATTAGGAATTGCGTGATTTTTGAGCAATAAATTTAAAGTTTTACGTGGTTTAAATACTATATGACAATTACTTAGTCACAAATTATCATATCTTAGTACCTAGTATTACTATTAATTAAATAGTCTTCACGAGCGTGAATTTTGAGCAATAAATTTAAAGTTTTACGTGGTTTAAATACTATATGACAATTACTTAGTCACAAATTATCATATCTTAGTACCTAGTATTACTATTAATTAAATAGTCTTCACGAGCGTGATTTTTGAGCAATAAATTTAAAGTTTTACGTGGTTTAAATACTATATGACAATTACTTAGTCACAAATTATCATATCTTAGTACCTAGTATTACTATTAATTAAATAGTCTTCACGAGCGTGATTTTTGAGCAATAAATTTAAAGTTTTACGTGGTTTAAATACTATATGACAATTACTTAGTCACAAATTATCATATCTTAGTACCTAGTATTACTATTAATTAAATAGTCTTCACGAGCGTGATTTTTGAGCAATAAATTTAAAGTTTTACGTGGTTTAAATACTATATGACAATTACTTAGTCACAAATTATCATATCTTAGTACCTAGTATTACTATTAATTAAATAGTCTTCACGAGCGTGATTTTTGAGCAATAAATTTAAAGTTTTACGTGGTTTAAATACTATATGACAATTACTTAGTCACAAATTATCATATCTTAGTACCTAGTATTACTATTAATTAAATAGTCTTCACGAGCGTGATTTTTGAGCAATAAATTTAAAGTTTTACATGGTTTAAATACTATATGACAATTACTTAGTCACAAATTATCATATCTTAGTACCTAGTATTACTATTAATTAAATAGTCTTCACGAATGAATATTTCACAAATTCATTAGTAAATATATTTGTTCTATATTATTGCTATTTGTTTGCCTTATATCAAAATTACGGAAAAGTGTAAAAAAAAATTTATGAGAAACGAACCGGAAACATGTGGAATATATTCATTTATTGTAAAATATTTGTAAATTTCCATAAATTTTAATTCCATTTCCTTCACTGTTATTACATCTAGTAAACTGCATTTTCTGTAAAAATTTTCAAAAAAAAATCTTTAACTGAAAATTGCTACACTTATTTTAATTGTTAAATCTAAATTATACAATGTATTTATTTAATTTAATCTCATAATTCACTTCCTGTATTAATTCTTTTTCTTCGAAAGATGTCAACTTTTTCTCGATATATGTCAATTGTCGTCTTTCCTTGGAATAACTCAACTCTTTGCTAATTAGGGTCATCTCTCAGTGAAATTTGAATTGACATGTTTTCTATTTCATTTTCTGTATTTTCTCTTTTTCCATATAATTTTAAGCGATCATTAATTATCATAACCGTAATAAATGGAAATATTAGCTATCAGTATAAATACTCTGTGCTATTATAACAGAAATATGAATTCAAAAATTAATATCAAATTCTAAAAAGATTTTTTTTTTTTTAGAAAGTTTTTGAATTTTACCATTAAACTTTATGTCCAATTTCCGATGATCATTTCATTTGATGATACTTTTTTAAGTAAATAATTGTAATAAGCCAAACATATAATAGAAATATGATTCAAAATTAATTAATTATAGGAAAAAAATAATTATAGGAATATTTGAAAACATAATGAGTAAAGCATATATACTATTTCTAATGTTATCCATAATATGAACAAACTTTAAAAAAATTCGAGCACCAGAAATCATCAAAACCGTTGTCTGTTTTAAATTTACAAATTGCATAAATAAATATACAGCTTTGTCTAAAAATAGCAAATGTCCATTGCTTTGACCATAGCGACATGGAAAAATCTGGAACAAAATTTAAAATGCTAAAAAAAAAATTTAGCATATTTTAATAAAAAAAATTATAGCAATAAATTTTTGCAAATATTTTAACTGATAGAATTAGCTAATTTTATACCTCTATTAGATGACATTTTCGTTTTGCTGCAAGTTTCATATCATCCATTGCTCTCCGAGATGAGTTATTATTTGAATTTGTTGAATTACTAAAATTAAATTTAACTTTTTTCAAAAAAAAAAAGCAAAAGCAAAAAAAAGCAAAAAAAAAAGGAATGAAATTTCTGCAGAAATTATAAAAATTTTTGAATTGAGAATGCAAAAAGTCAATTTATATAAACTGTTTATATCTCATTTATTAGAAAAAAAATAGAAAAAAAAAAAAATGAAAATTGCAAATTTTGATTCCATTATCAAAAATTTCACTTATCTTTATCAAAATAATTATTCATAAATACTAACGCTAACGAATGATTCGGATAAACATTGTCGATTAAATTGAGAACTAAAAGAATTGTATCTCTTACCAGCGGAATTTTAATCACCTGCAATTATAATAATAATTGATAATTATTTGCTCATTGTGTTATCAGCGTTGTTATCACTTATTATTAACAAAAATATCATTATTTTAATACTCATGAAATTGATAATTATTTGCTCATTGTGTTATCAGCGTTGTTATCACTTATTATTAACAAAAATATCATTATTTTAATACTCATGAAATTGATAATTATTTGCTCATTGTGTTATCAGCGTTGTTATCACTTATTATTAACAAAAATATCATTATTTTAATACTTAATCATGAAAATAAATTATTATGATTATTTATTTATTTGTTTTTTTTTTCAACTTACTTACTGATAGTTTTATTGTAATTAATGAATGCAGTGATAATTTTAAAGGTACTAATAAAAAATCTTATCTGAAATTTATAATATTAGAAAATTTTGCTAAACAGTTATGATCAGTTATCATTCATCACAAAAATTTATCATTTATTCTTAATAATTTCAATCATTAATCATACAACATGGTAAAAAATATTAAAATGTAAAAAATTTGAAATTTAATTTAAACAATTTTTTTTTTTGTGAATTATTCAAATAAAACTTACTTCATCCACAATAGAACGTACCCGTAACGGACCAATATTTTCCTTATTATTATCAAATGGATTTAAAATATCATGTTCAATTGTTAAACTTGGTGCTGAATTTACTTCAAGCAATACTGGTATTAAATTTTTTGTAATTAATATATCAAAACCTATTATCTAAAAAAAAAAAGAAGCAATACGAGAGAAAGTTTTCATTGAATAATTGTTATTAATAATGCAAATGTTAATTTTAAATTTTATACTTGATTAAATTAGTTAATCAATGGTTAATAAAATAATGCAAATGTTAATTTTAAATTTTATACTTGATTAAATTAGTTAATCAAAGTTTAATAAAATAATGCAAATAATTAATTTTAAATTTTATACTTGATTAAATTAGTTAATCAAAGGTTAATAAAATAATGCAAATGTTAATTTTAAATTTCATACTTGATTAAATTAGTTAATCAAAGGTTAATAAAATAATGCAAATGTTAATTTTAAATTTCATACTTGATTAAATTAGTTAATGCAAATGTTAATTTTAAATTTTATACTTGATTAAATTAGTTAATGCAAATGTTAATTATAAATTTTATACTTGATTAAATTGGTTAATCATAAGCAAATGTTAATTTTAAATTTTATACTTGATTAAATTAGTTAATGCAAATGTTAATTTTAAATTTTATACTTTATTAAATTAGTTAATAAGTGGTTAATAAAATAATGCAAATGTTAATTTTAAATTTTATACTTGATTAAATTAGTTAATCAAATGTTAATTTTAAATTTTATACTTGATTAAATTAGTTAATCAAAGGTTAATGTAAATGTTAATTTTAAATTTTATACTTGATTAAATTAGTTAATCAAAGGTTAAAAAATAGAATAAAAAAATTTATTGATTTTTTTTAACTGATTGCTATTTCAAAAAAATATATATATACGATCAATTTTGAAACAATAATAATTATTCATTTCATTTGTCTTACAATATATTAAATAATACAAATAAATTAAACTGATAAAAAAATTAAAATCCAACACATTTTCTCGTAAAATTGAATCACTAAAATGAACAAAATGAAATTAAATTAAATTGAATTGAATTAAATTAAATTGAATTGAATTAAATTGAATTACTAGCATTGACATAAGTTAGTTGAGAAAAATAATTAAATATATATATATATACCTGAAAACATTCCGGACCTATTGTATCATAAAAATAATGTTCATAATTGAGAATAATTTCAGGTAGCATTGCAATTACCGTTTTAACAATTATTATTTTAATATCATGCCATAATTGTTGCTTTTTAACACCTTTTACTTCCATTTGATGAAAAACAGTTGATAGTAATCGTTTACTTCCTAAAATAAAAAATTTTTGAGCTTAATATTTAATCATAAATAACTAATTAATTAATGCTATTAAAAAACTTATTTGAAAAAAAAAAAAAAAACAATTATTAGGCACAAAATTTTAGATTTCTTTGCATTATCTTTTAATAAAAAAGAAATAATAATAAAACATTTTTGAAGATGAAAAAAAAAAAAACAGAAATGTATGAAATTAGAATGAATTAAATTCATTTCATATTTTATTTTATCATTCTAACTTACAACCATCGCATTAATATTTTAGAAAAAAATTAAAAAACTATTTTATAAAAAAATTAAAATTATTTTTTGCAATAATAATAATATTTCATCGCTCTACAAGCATTAAAAAAGGATATCTAAGAAATTATCTAAAATACTATTTCACTATTTATAATACTATTTTTAACTTATCATTTAGACTAATTCGAATATTTATCTCAGTCAAATCAACGAATGCAAATATATAGAAGTAATGAAATAACTTTTCATCTAATCTTATAAGAAGTAAACTTAACTTTTCATCTAATCTTATAAGAAGTAAACTTAACTTTTCATCTAATCTTATAAGAAGTAAACTTAACTTTTCATCTAATCTTATAAAAAGTAAACTTAACTTTTCATCTAATCTTATAAGAAGTAAACTTAACTTTTCATCTAATCTTATAAGAAGTAAACTTAACTTTTCATCTAATCTTATAAGAAGTAAACTTAACTTTTCATCTAATCTTATAAGAAGTAAACTTAACTTTTGATCTAATCTTATAAGAAGTAAACTTAACTTTTCATCTAATCTTATAAGAAGTAAACTTAACTTTTCATCTAATCTTATAAGAAGTAAACTTAACTTTTCATCTAATCTTATAAGAAGTAAACTTAACTTTTGATTTAATCTTATAAGAAGTAAACTTAACTTTTCATCTAATCTTATAAGAAGTAAACTTAACTTTTCATCTAATCTTATAAAAGTAAACTTAACTTTTCATCTAATCTTATAAAAAGTAAACTTAACTTTTCATCTAATCTTATAAGAAGTAAACTTAACTTTTCATCTAATCTTATAAGAAGTAAACTTAACTTTTCATCTAATCTTATAAGAAGTAAACTTAACTTTTCATCTAATCTTATAAGAAGTAAACTTAACTTTTCATCTAATCTTATAAAAAGTAAACTTAACTTTTCATCTAATCTTATAAAAAGTAAACTTAACCTCTGATCTGATCTCGCAATGATAAACTATGAATGTAAGCATTATTCTCCTTATTTAATGAATAATTCGTCAAATGAGCATATAAATTGCCAAAATTTGATGATGTTGGCATGGCATATTCTTCTGTACAAAATCGTGCCATACCTAAATTCAATTACTGTAAATAAAATTAGAAAAATAAAATTTCAAAATTTTCACGGAATTAATTTTTATTATCCATATGGAAAGAGATAGACAGAGATAGAGAAAGATTTGTTTGGAAACAATTTAGGTACGATTTTTTCTATTGTATTTTTAGTCAAAAATTTTCGACAATTTTTCAAAACATTCAAATTTCTCAAAAAATTATTATAATTTAACAAATATTTAAGTAAATTCATTATTTAGTTTACCTTTAATTGCTTTTATATTATGTATATTAATAGAAAAATTGTTTTTTTTTTTTTTTAAATTTAGAATTCAAAATTTAATTTAAAATTTTTAAAGCATAATAAATAATATAAATTTCTTCTGTTTGAAAATATTTTACTTTTCATTTTTTTTTTTTTTTGTTTCAAATTTATATTTGCATTTTATAATTTTCTATAAAATGTATTAAAAGTGAAACCTTCACGAGCAACATAAATTGACAATGGATTGATACTTTTAATAACAGCATACACACGAAAATCAAATTTCAGATTGTCGCTCAACAGGTAAGGATCTACAATATATTCCTGAATAAGTTGACATGCTTTAGGTTTCCGTATTTGTTCCGGTTTTTGAATCAGATAAATTCCTGTCCCTTGAGCTCCTGGAATATAAAAATTATTTTTGTCTTATTAATCTAATAAGTTTACATATTTCAATTAAACAATGTTTTACGTTTAACGTGTAAATGAACAAACGAGTACGTGAAATTACGAAATTTTATTACGTAAATAATATTTGAGTTTAAAAAAAAAAAAAAAACGGATAAATTTAAATGAAATGAAATTACTCTTACCATCATCCGGTTTAACAATATACCAGTTGTTATTCTGGAATGATGTTAAATTATCCTCCGATTTTGCACATTTATTGCAGTACTTCATGAATGCATCAAGTTGTGCCGGAATAAACCAACTTGAAGGATAAAACGCGTATTCATCCGGAAATAATCGACGCATTGAGGAAATTGCTCGTGTTAGAGAAATTTTTTTAGATAAATCTGACATTCCTGCAAAAAAAAAAAAAAAATAAAAATAAAAATAGCACAATAACAAGTTGTGCTTATTCAATCTTTTAAAAAAGAGATTAAATTTTAGTGAAATATTTAAATTAAAAAATGCAAAATTATTTAATACTATACCCATTAATAATATAAAAATAAAGGGGAAAAAAATAGTAATAATAATACTAAAAATCCATAAATGTAATTTGCTGTAATTGTAAATTTTATATTAAACAAATTAAATAAAATAATTTAATGCAACCTGGAAATTTATTAATTTTAGATTGAGGATTTTTGATAATAGATCGTATATCATGTTGTATGCTATTATGCCAATAAATATCACATGTATCACCATCTTCTCGTCCTTCTGGATACTAAAATTTTGCATCAATTAAATATAATAATTACAAAAATTTCAATTCAAATGCCTTATTTTCTCTTTCTAACTTTTTTTTTTTTTTTGCTTTTAATTTCGAGAATTAATGATTATGTTGTTGAATGATTAGTAAATTTATTTTTTATTAAATTTTACAAATGCATAATTCATTCTATAATTAATTTTTTCTACAATAAAAATTTTAATGGAAGAAAAATTTTTGTGCTAACCTCTTGCATACCCAATTCTGTGGCGCAAATGCCTTATTTTCTCTTTCTAACTTTTTTTTTTTCTTTTTTTGCTTTTAATTTTGAGAATTAATGATTATGTTGTTGAATGATTAGTAAATTTATTTTTTATTAAATTTTACAAATGCATAATTCATTCTATAATTAATTTTTTCTACAATAAAAATTTTAATGGAAGAAAAATTTTTTGTGCTAACCTCTTGCATACCCAATTCTGTGGCGCAAATGCCTTATTTTCTCTTTCTAACTTTTTTTCTTTTTTTGCTTTTAATTTCGAGAATTAATGATTATGTTGTTGAATGATTAGTAAATTTATTTTTTATTAAATTTTACAAATGCATTATAATTAATTTTTTCTACAATAAAAATTTTAATGGAAGAAAAATTTTTGTGCTAACCTCTTGCATACCCAATTCTGTGGCGCAAAGAGAAACAATATGTTTGTTTGTTTTTGCGCGTGATGTATCAATTGTAAAATTTTGCGCTATAGGTTCAGCATAACCAAACGATGAAAATGAAAATGAAACACTGAAAAATTATAAGCATAAAAAAAAAAAAAAGGAAAAAAAATTTACAAAAAAAAAAAAAAAGATTTGAAAAGTTGTAATAGAAAAAGTTTAAGAAATTGTTATTAGCAAAAATAAATAACAATGAAGAGTTAATCTGTTATTTTATTCAAATTAAGTACAAAATTTTTTACCATATATTTAATTTATTATTTAACATATATTTAATTTATTTTTATTGTACTTAAAAAGTAAAAATTTGATAAAATGATAAACTGAATTAAGCAAAAAAAAAAAAAAATGATTTCATACGAGAATAAATTCAAAATTAATATAAAAAAATTGATAAGTGGAATTATTGTACTTTTGTAGTAATTAAAATCAATGATTACTTTGAATGATCCGTTGCGCTGTGTACCTTTTCCGCACATTTAATAGTTTCACTTTCATTTCGAGATTTTTGTACATAATTGATTTTATCAGTTGTTATTGTTGAAGGTATCCTTCTCGGCTTATCATGATAATTATTATTCCCATACATTTGTTACCTAAATTTGTTGCAAACCGGAATTTATCGATTTTCTGATTTTTTTGGTAGCAGTGACATTTGACATTTCTCCTCATTAATTTGAATAAATTGTTGTGTTCTGACAAATTTTATAACAAATACCATTTACTGAAATATTAGGAAGAATTAGTATCAATGATTTTTATCAGTGATATGTATAAGTGGGAAGGAATAGCGATGAACGTCTGATGAATTTTAATTTTCAAAATTTTTTTCTTTTTATAAAGAAATTTGAATAAATGAATAGTGATAGATTCAAAATTAAACCATAGCAAAAATTTGACCTATAACCTATAAAAATGACCTATAACCTATAAAGGTATGACCTATAACCTATAAAAATGACCTATAACCTATAAAGGTAAGATTAGAAACTATGAATTGTTCCATCATGCATTTCTCTAATAAAATGATAAAGTGGATAAAGTTTATTGATAAACTTATTTAAAAGAAATAAAATGAAAAAAAGTAGAGATTTTTTAAATTTGAAAATTTGAAAAAGAAAAAAAAAACAAATTTAATGTCACCCGAGAAATTATATAGTGTAAAAAATTACAATTAAAAAAATCAATCACTTAATAAAAAAAAAATAAGTAACAATTATTTATGTGATTCACATAAGTCAATTATTTATATCATATTAAAAATTTAATTAAAATTTACCAATTCACAATAAACGAAAATATAATCTAATACTCGGAATAAAAAAAAAAAAGGAAAATTTAGTCTTAAAAATTTGAAATATAGAAATTTTTTCTAAGCAGCTTCAATGCACAACAATAACAATTGAAAGGAAAAATAAAATAAAGAAAAAAGTGAAATAAAATCTATCACTAATTTTATAATTTAAAATTAAACTTTCAATTAAAGTTAGCAAAATAAATTAAGTAAGCAGAATTTGAATAGAATTTTGCTTTATTGTCATGTTGTTAAATCAAAAAAAAAAAAATATTTTAAGATTCAAATACTAAAAAATGTTAACGATGCTATCAGGTTGTAAATGCAGCAAACTTAATTGTTCTGACTACTGATCGTCTTTCTCAGTTCCCTTCCTCCTTCCACTACTCCTCTCTGTTACTCCCTCCCTCATAACGATTTTCTATACTCAAAAAAAAAAAAAACTTTTTTTTTTTTGTTTTCAATTTATCTATGTCATTTATTTTTCTTCTATTCGTTCCACTAAATCAGTATTCCCTCAAATTCTTCTCATTTCCTGTCACTTTCTTCCTTTTTTTCACTTCCTCTTTCTCTATGTAATTTAAAATAATTATTAATTATTTTGTAATTGTTCATTGCTTATAACAATTCTAATATTTGAATTGCAGAAATGATAGGAATTTCACGTTGAAATGATCAATAACAAATGTAATATGAAATTGACAAAATAATTATTTCTTAAATTTCATACGGAAATACTTAGTATATTTTATGTACATAGATTTGAAATAATTGCGCACTTCTATAATAATAATATTAATAACAATAATAATAATAATAATAATAATAATAATAATAACAATAACAGCAATAATAATAGTAATAATAAGAATAAAAATAATAATTCCAAAGGGATTATCGTAGCTTTTTTTTAATATTTTTATATTTTTATTGGCAGTAATATATTTACTAATTATGATGTATTATTTCCCTGAAATTTTTATCAAATAAATGTTTTTCCAGCTATTTTTTCCCAAATAATTAATTTGGAAATACAAATGAAAACAAATGGATGAAATATTATCAAATTTTAATATTTAATTAACACACAAAAAAAAAATCCAAATTTAACAGTGGAACTCAATATGCTTTAAAAGTTTTATTATTTATAAAAAAAAAAAAATGAAAATAAAAAAGTGACTCAAAAGAGATATATTGAAAATATTGTAAATTTTTTTTTTTTTTGTTTGTTAATGAATTATTGCAATGCTAAACTTTGAATAAAATATTTATTTATATATTAGCAAACTTTTGAAAATTTTCAAGTGGGAGGAAATTTATAATTATTTATTATTGCATGGAATTTGAGAGTCTTATTGAAAGTTTTCAAATAGAAAAGTAAAAAACAAACAAATAAACAAAATAATTTGTTAGCTGTACTAATGATACTATTACGAATTGTAAGCATTCCCTAATTCATTTATTTTAGCATATTTTAATTTCCCATTGCTTAGTTAGTTGCATTCGCTTTGAATACAAATATTTTTTAATATGGCAAACCATTTGTTTATTTTTTGGAAATTTAGCAATGATTATATTAAGCATAGCTGATAACTTACTGATAACTTAACTTTATACTTAATTATTCAATTTTTTGGTAAATATTTTGTTGTTCAAATTTTTGTTAAATTTTTCATCATTATTTCATCAATTATAGAATTTTTTTTTAAATAATAATCGTTAATAATTTGATAGTAAATAAGTGATAGAAGTGGTTAAATATATATATATATATTTTTTAAATAAATATTTCTACCAATTTTTCATCAATTAGCTATAAAATTCTTCTGATAAATTAAGTATGAAAATTTATGGGGCATTTTTAATTATTAAATTATTAATATTTTTGGTACTAGATTTGAACATAACTTTTGTGATGAATAATTTTAGACTACTATAATCATGAATATTCCTAAAAACTACATAACTACAAGCAGAAAAATATTGGAACGTTTGAAATTTTTTGCCTTCTAAAAAGAATTTAAAAAGAAAAGAGAAAAGAATGAGATGAAACAAAGTTTTATGAGATAAATTTCTTCAATAATCGAAATGAAAAAATGCAAATAGGCCATTCGATGTTGGCGGAAATGTTTGTTGGCTACGAATGAACAAATAGTTACCTATGGCAACGTAATAATATGTCAGCAACATCTCATGTATTCGATATACTTTCAAAATTTAAATGAATTGTAATATATCTAAGAAAAAAAAAAAAAAAAACAAAAAAAGCAAAAAAAAAAAAAAGACATAAAAATATGAATTAATTGAAATGTTTCATTTAATGATCGTTCATCTTCATTTTTGCTTCAAGTCTAGTTAAATGCATTTTATCAGACTTAACAATTTAATTAATTCTTTTCAATTTTATGACTAAAAGTAATAATTACTTAATTAGATTAGACTGAGAAAGATCGATCGACAATTAGTATCAATTAGCAATAATTGATAAGGTGATAGATAGATCAGTGACTAATTTCGTTTTCAATTTATTTTATCTAACTTAATTCATCTATTAAACTTTTACTGTTCATATATTTGATTAAAATGTGCAAAACGTGAATTTAATATATTTCTTTAAATTGAAAGTTCAAAATTTTGACTTCTAATTCTAAACAAATACTCCAGTGAAAGCCAAATTTTTCACATTCAAATAATATTATCAAGACCAATAATTGTCATATGTATCACTTGTCATTTTCATTATTCAGGTTTACTTTTCTTTTGGAAGTAAACGAATTCAAAAAGTCATGAAAGTTATTTTATTGAAAAATTTAACAAAAATTTGAACAACAAAATAGTTACCAAAAAATTGAATAATTAAGCATAAAGTTAAATTGAATAATTAAGCATAAAGTTAATGCAACTAATTAAGTAAGTTATCAGCTATGCTTAATATAATTATTGCTAAATTTCCAAAAAAATAAGCAAATGGTTTGCCATATTAAAAATATATATGTATTCAAAGCGAATGCAACTAATTAAGCAATGGGAAATTAAAATATGCTAAAATAAATGAATTAGGGAATGCTTACAATTCGTAATAGTATCATTAGTACAGCTAACAAATTATTTTGTTTATTTGTTTGTTTTTTACTTTTCTGTTTGAAAAGTTTCAATAAGACTCCCAAATTCCATGCAATATTAAATAATTATAAATTTCCTCTCACTTGAAAATTTTCAAAAGTTTGCTAATATATAAATAAATGTTTTATTCGTCTTATTCGTCTTTTCAAGTCTTAATTAAATTTGACGTGTTTTCTTTTTTAATTTGCAAAATGTCAACTATATACACTTCAGTTTTTGCCTGTATCAATTTTTTTTTTATAATTTAATTCAACATTTGTAATTTCTTTCTTTTTTTTAAACTTAACTCCAATTTTAGTTTTAACCTTTTCAAGTTAATTTAATGTCATTTTCAATCTAACCATAAGAACTATGAAATGGTTCATTAGAGATTATTTCAAGTAATCAAATTTTGAAATGATTTTTTTGCACTAAAAGAATTTATTAAATATCTTAAAATAGTGCTTTATGCTTAAGTAATGCTTATATTTTAATCGAATTAATTATCTTAAATTTCATTGCAAATAAAATTTAGACATCAGATTTTATCTCTAAGCTAAACCCAAATTATTTCTTATTTCCATTCTAAAAATTAATTCTTTTAAGGTATTGCATATTTCCATTGTGCGCCACAATATGGCATATTTGCGCATTCCTATAAAGTGGAATTATTACAACAAAATCGGTAAAACGTGAAGCTGTTAGTTAGTTTTCTTTACTTAAATTATTAGTGTTCGAAAAAAATATTCCAATTAAAAAGCTTTCAACTTTATAATTTAATGATTCCTCTTCTTATTATTGGAGTTCAAAAAAGTTTTGTAATCAAAAGGTTTTAATGTTATAATTTAATGATTTTTTTTCCTATTATTAGAATTAGAGAAAGTTTTACAATTAAAAAGTATCAAAAGTTATAAGTAATTTCATTTTTTTTTTCCTATTATCAAAAGTCAAAGAAATTTAACAATAAAAGAGTTTTAAAGTTATAATTAATGATTTATAATCAATAAATTTTTTCTTTTTCTTTTTTTTTTATGACTAGAAATTATAACATTTTATCTAGTCAATTCTATTTCATTAAAACATTATTGGAGGCCAAAAAGTATAACATAATATTCTATCACCTTTATCTATTTTCACTCCTTTTAATTTATTAATCTTGCACAAATACTCACGAAACATTGTTTTTTTCTCAAATAGCAGTCATGTGCTCTTACTGTTAATTTTTATTATAACAAAACTCTTTATTTTAATATTTTTAAACTATAAAATGACCAGATCTGGTGCAATGCATATGAAATAATCAACTACATCTTAAATATCTATTTGTCTTTAAATTGTTATATTTTGCAGATTCAGCACTTAACTAAATTATTTTTTTTTTTTTTTTAAAAAGTCTTATTTTAAAAAGTCTTATTACAAAGCCTTATTTTAATATTTAAACTATAAAATGACCAGATCTGGTGCAATGCATATGAAATAATCAACTACATCTTAAATATCTATTTGTCTTTAAACTAATTGCTATATTTTGCAGATTCAGCACTTAACAAAAATTCAAATTATTAATATAGAACGAATTTTAAAATTAAAACTAATAATCTTGAACGAATTTTAATCCTTGTTTAATATACAAAAACTATTAAAAATATAAAATTTTTAAAAAATTCAAGATTTAAATTTGAAATAAATTTAATTTTAATTCTTAAATTGAATTAAAACCATGATTAATTGGAAGTTTTATTGATCTTGCTGCTGAATTTTTGCGCAAAACTTGATTACAAAAGCGTATTTTAATATTTAAACTATAAAATGACCACACTATATATGACGAGCTCTGGTACAATGAATATAACATATTCAATTAAGTTCAAAATATTACTATTTTTATTAGCTTTGGCACTTAATTAAAATTAGAATTGATAATTTAGAACAAATTTCCTTGTTTAATGAATGAAAATTATAACAAATTTTAAGACATTACACCAGAGCTGGTCATATATGGAGTGGTCATTTCATAGTTTAAATATTAAAATACGCCCTTGAGCAAGATTTCATCAGCAAAATTAATAAAACTTTCAATTAATCATGGTTTAAGTTCAATTTAAGAAATAAAATTGTTTTTCATTCCAAATTTAAATTTTGAATTTTTTAAAAATTTTAAAATTTGTTATCGTTATCTTACATTAAACAAGGAAATTGGTTTTGAATTATCAATTTTGAATTTAATTCAGTTTCAAAACTACTAAAAATAGCATTATTTTTAAGTTATTTGATTATGTTGTATGCATTGCACCAGGGCGGATCATATATTTATGTGGTCATTTTATAGTTTAAATATTGAAATACGCTTTTGTAGCTAAGTTTTGCTCAAAAATTAATCAGCAAAATAAATAAAACTTTCATTTAGTCATGGTTTTAATTCAATTTAGGAATTAAAATAAAATTTCAAATTTAAATTTTGGATTTTTTTAAAAATTTTAAAATTTGTAACAGTTTTTGTACATTAAGAAAGAAATTGGTTCTAGGTTATCAAATTTAATTTTAATTAAGTGCAAAAACTACTTAAAATAGCAATTCATTTGAGAAAATGTTTATTTTTTGAACTTAATTATTTCATATGCATTGCACAGAGCTGGTCATATATGGTGTGGTCATTTTGTAGTTTAAAAAGAAAAATACTCTTTTGTAATTTTGCACAAAAGAACAGTACAGCTTCAGAAACAAAAAATATCGGTGTGAACTATGTTAATGTTATTTCTACATATATTTCTATTAAGAGACCATGACCAATGTCTCATTTTTTATCGAAATCATCACCAATCACTTTTTTTTTGTTTCTTTCTTTTTGCTTGGAGCACTTTAGGGCCACTGTTATACTTTCTCATAAATATGAATGACTATTGTGACTCTCAGCTTATGACTCCGAATGGATTAGACAAGTCAACAAAGAAATATCTCATTTTGGTTATCAATCGATTGGTTTTTTATGAGAAAGAAATGGCAATCCATATTCATTCGTATCCCTTCTGTTGGAATTTTCTAGCAAACTTTCTCACAGTAGGTTAGATTATTTGCTCTTCGTTTTCCTTAGCACTTTGAAGCATAATTTTTTCGGTTTTTTTTTTCTCTGAAAAGCTTTTTTCAAAAAATATGTAAAATAGTTATTTCAAGTTGGAGGATAATCGGTATTTGTGGTAAATAGTTCGTTTTTTTTTTTTGATGGGATAAGAAATAAACATAAGATGTCTTTACAAGAAAACTATCGGGAATTGGAGAGGGTAACTGACTGACTTAATTCAAAGTGATTTCGGGACCAAAAAGCTAGCTCTGAGGTTTAATGGAGATAAAATAGATTCTGAAATGATTGAGTTTGTCCATTATATTGTTATATTAATGCATAAAGATCATGCAGTATGTGAAAAATATTTTAAAAATTTATATATTAAAAAAAAAAACATACATATTATATTAAAAATTTAAAGATAACCTTTGGTTTTAACACGTTTCAAACAATATTTGAAAATCAACGGAAGTTTGGTTCAATTTTTTGCATAAAGGAATATCGGAAAATTCCTCTAGGGAATATAAACAGGTGCTTGCAACTTGCTTCTGTGCTCATTATTACAGAAATAATAATATTTATTAACAAAGCGATAAAAGAAATTTCAAGTGCAGAGTTTCGAGCAACAAGAATTCATGTATGGCAAATTTTCTGAGCAAGATAATAACGGTTTTGCTTTTTTGGTTCAAATATCTAATATCGAAATGGATATTTCACTGGATAACTCTGTATACCAAACAGGTTTCGTTTCACTCATCCTGCTTCATTTGTAACTAGCACAAAAAAATTTTAATTTTTTGGTTAACAGTTTCTCTGACTTATAAGCGTTTGTTTGAGTAAGTTAGGAGAAAAATGTAATCATGCATCTCCATGTCATTTTTTTTTTCAAAAGTTTTCGCTGTCAAATGTCGTTTTTTAATAGAATAAAAACTACTGCTTCTAGAGTTGTCAATTTTATGTTTCATTTACAGATCGGGGTGCAGTTTTATTGATAAACATTGATTTCAAGCTATTTTGCTTTCTTTATTGCTTCAATCGATTGCTTTTAAAATTCTCAAGGTTTTTTTTTTTTTTTTTTTTTAACGAATGTTTCTCGTAGTGATAAATAATAATTTTAATGCAGATACATAATATTTTTTTCACCCTTTATTTTGTGCAATTTCATGGTTTAAAAGAAAGTTTTCCTTTTTTTTTTTTTTTAATTTTTTACTTTTACTCTTATTAGCAATAAAGCAGCGTTAAGTTGATTGCCATAATTTTAATGTGTTATAACACTCAATGATTTTATTATTTGTTAATGTTACTGTTGATGTGTAGTCATCTATTTTCCTGTATTTAGTTTGGTAGCCTTATCCAACAAAAGATATGTTCAAAATTTATTCTCCGCAAAAAAAGAAGGTTCAATGAGATCTTCTGTTATTTCGAGAGCTGTTCAGTATTCAACACCAATGGAGAATGATGTACGGAAGATTTCAGTACAGCCAAAAGAGGTCGAAAGAACCAAAGTCATTGAAAATTATGATGACTCATTAATAAATGGCCGATGCGACAATGGTAGCATTCATTCGAATTATCATTCTAATAGTATCACTCATATAAAGGATTCAGGATCAATTGCCAGTGATTTAGATGAATCTGTACTGGATGCTTTCACCACAATTTCGGTATATTTTTTATTTTAAGATTTTTTATTCTCTTTTTATTCTGTTATTTAATTCATTTGTTCAGTGATAGTATGTTAAGGGCTTGTTTGAAATTTCAAGAAATATAAAAAATTTCTTCGAATAGCCCTACTCAGATGATGTTACTGCCATATCACAGTTAGAATGTTAATATGGGCTTTTGTAAAAGGCTAAAGTGAATTTGAGGGGAAGGACAGAATTTAAGATTAGTATTCATATATCATTAAGTCTATGAATTTGTTTCAGAAGACATTGCTGTTCAAGAGTGAAGGATTTGAGATTACAGACGATGACTTATAATTGTTTTTTTTTTCGAGGATTTAAAATAAACTAGCAAAACAGATCATAAATTTCTTTTCATTAGGGTAAGTTTGCTGTTTACTGCTTTATATTATAAAAATTTTGCTATCATTTCTCTTATTGGTGGAAGTTTTTTTTTTTGTGTGTGTGGAAAGTATTGTAAGTGCTAATTTATGCATTTTGATTTTTTTATATTAATTTTTTTTTTTTTTTGTCAGCTACTTTGCTTCTATGTTTATATGAATTTATTCCGAATGTAGTACTCGTTGGACATATCTCTTCCTATTTTTTCATATACTGGCAGTGCCATTTTGTTTGTATTTATAAGCATTCGTAGGCATACAGATACTATTTTATATACTAATTCAAGATTTCCGAAAATTAAAAATGGTCGAATTTATTCTACAGTTTATTTTCTGATAATTTTTGCTGATATAGCCTTCTTATGCTAAAAGTGCGGTATACCTAATTGCTAGATAGTTTCATCGTGAGAATATTAATGAGAATGTTACTTGATACTTAATTTATCATTCTGTCTTCCTTTTGATCAGAATCAGATCTTCCTTTGTCTTTTTAGGAAACAAGGATGTTTTGAATTAGATTATATTTTATGTCACTTTACGTGTCGCACATCACTTCATTTAAGTGCATGAAGCAGTTTCTCTGTTATTTATTCAAAATGATATATTTGCATTATTCACTTTAGCATAATTTTGATTCAACAATTCCATGTTTTATTCTTAGCTATCTTTATTTCACTTTCATTTTCTTTTTGTTTTTTTTTTTCCTCTGCTTCATAGTTTGTTTCATTTTCATATCGAATCTGTTTAATATTATATAATTTTTTGTCGGGAAAAATTGTGATTTTACTGCTACATCGTTATAATAATACATCCAAATGAAATTGAATGAAAAAAAAAGATTTCCTGAGTAATCACTATTTTTTATAGAAATTTGATTTTATGATGATACACAAATGGTCATATTTTCGAAAAACTAATTTATTTATGAAAAATTTCCTCTATTTTTTCACTTACCAAATCTTCCGATCCTGAAATTTTGCATCGATAACAAGTATGATCGAATTTTCCAGTTGTATCAATTAAAAAAAAAAAATTTCTTATAAAGTTGACTGAGCAGGATGTGAGATTTCATGTATGAAATTTTTTTTAGATTTCTTGAAATATGCATCATAGCATCTTAGCAACAATATCTTGAATAGTGTGTTGCCTCAAAATTAGCTTTAATAAGAAAATAGATTAGTGTAAAATTTGATGTGTTGAAAATTGTTTAAATTTCCAAGTTGATCACTTTTTTTCTTATTTAAGCAATGGAATTAAAGAAGTACGTATTTTTGGAGTGGTAATAAACTCATAAAATTAAAATTCATTAATATTACAAAATTTTTTTTTTTGGACATGTTTGATCTTTTTCTCATCATCAAACATGATCTGTCGTCATGCTGGTAACATAGTTTTACTAATTTATTGTTTTTTACTAACAATAATCTTAAGAAATTATCATTTATTTTCTTCTTATGCTAAAAGTGCGGTATACCTAATTGCTAGATAGTTTCATCGTGAGAATATTAATGAAAATGTTACTTGATACTTAATTTATCGTTCTGTCTTCTTTTTGATCAGCATCAGATCTTCCTTTGTCTTTTTAGGAAATTTCCAAGTTTTAGGAATTGTTTAATAATTTTGGCCAGAGTTTATATTGCCATAAACACAAATTTATTTGACATATGTTGATTGATTGATTGATTCACATGGATGTTTTGAATTAGATTATATTTTACGTCACTTTACGTGTCGCACATCACTTCATTTAAGTGCATGAAGCAGTTTCTCTGTTATTTATTCAAAATGATATGTTTGTGTTATTCACTTTTGCATAATATTTCGATTCAACAATTCCATGTTTTATTCTTAGCTATCTTTATTGCACTTTCATTTTCTTTTTGTTTTTTTTTTTTTTCCTTTGCTTCATAGTTTGTTTCATTTTCATATCGAATCTGTTTAATATTATATAATTTTTTGTCAGAAAAATTGTGATTTTACTGCTACATCGTTATAATACATCCAAATGAAATTGAATGTAAAAAAGATTTCCTCAAATAGTCATTATCTTTATTGAAATTTAATTTTATGGTGATACACAAATGATCACATTTTCGAATTGTTACCCGCGTGAACGTTCTAATTTATTTATGAAATATTTGCTTTACTTTTCTCTTACTAAATTTTCATATCCTGAAATTTTGCATGGATAACAACTATGATCGAATTTTCTAGATGTATCAATTAGAAAAAGTTTAAAAAAATGTATCAATTCCTCATAGAGCAGAATGTGAAATTTCACCTATGAAATTTTTTCAGATTGTTGAGGTACGCACCTACAACATTTTGAATAGTGTATTACTTCAAAATCGGCTTTAGTAACAAAATAAATTGGTGTAAAATTTGGGTAAAAGAAATAACTTCATTTTGAAAAAATGAGTTTTGTTGGCCGATTTAATTTTTTTTTGAAAAAACGATAGAAAAAATTGATCTCTTGCAAAGTCCTCCGTGATAGGAAAGTTGGAGAATAATCTTCAATGGTTAACTTTCTTCTTTTCCTCTTCTTTTTCCAATAGTTTGTTTTGACCTATCTGAAGTTATTGTTGTTGTTTGTTTATTTCTTCTTTTTTTATAAGAAATTAATTCATAAAATAAAAGTTTCCCAAATCTTCGAATTAATATCAATTTTTATTAATAAGACAAGAATTTTTTTGAAAACGTTTTAATATATCAATAAAGTTACAAAATTAAAATATAACAGATGTCAGATTACTTTCATCTTTTGCTTGGCCACAATCTTTTTCCATGCAACAATCTTTATTAATTTATTTTTTGCATAAAAATATACAAAAAAAAAACTTCATTATTTGCAATTTCATTTTAACATAAAAACTAATTCTACTTATCATTTATGTGCTGCAAATTGTTCAAATTTCCCAGTTGATCACTTTTTCTTATTAAAGCAATGGAATTAATTAAAGAGTGTCATGGTAATAAACTCATAAAATTTTTGGACTGGTGATAAACTCAAAAAATTCATTAACAAAATTTTTCTTGGACATATCTGATCTTTTTCTCATCATCAAACGTGATCTTTCACCATGCTGGTAACATAGTTTTACTAATTTATTGTTAACAATAAATCTTATGCAATTATCATTTTGAAATGCTGATCAAATGATAATATGACAAGTGATATTAACAATCATTGGATCAATTAAACAAACATATTTGTATGTGCAAGCAGGTATGCAATTGTACTTGCAATGCAGCTGCAACTGCAAGTGCAAGTGTGGCTGCAAGAAATATTTACTATTAAGGTTACATTTTGAAAAGGTTACAATTCGAAAATGTGACGATTTGTATATCACCATGAAATCAAAAAATAGTGACTATTTGAGGAAATCTTTTTTACATTCAATTTCATTTGGATGTATTATAACGATGTAGCAGTAAAAACACAATTTTTTCTTATTACAAAACATTATATAATATTAAACAGATTCGATATGAAAATGAAACAAACTATGAAGCAGAGGAAAAAAAAAAAACAAAAAGAAAATGAAAGTGAAATAAAGATAGCTAAGAATAAAGCATGGAATTGTTGAATCGAAATATTATGCAAAGTGAATAACGCAAACATATCACTTTGAATAAATAACAGAGAAACTGCTTCATGCATTTAAATTAAGTGATAAAACGACACCTAAAGTGACGTAAAATATAATCTAATAAATAAGGAAAATTTTTTGTGGCTTTGTTACTTGAATTACTGCTTACATATATGTTATATAATTGTAACTAATGAATTAAAAACTTTTTTATACAGTCTTCTTATTATAACTTTTCTTATTCTAATAATTACCACTTTTTTCTTATCCTAAGCTTTCTTATTCTAATTTCATTTTTTATTTCACTTAATTTGATTTTTTCGATTTGCAACTAATATTAATACATTTTACCAATTTTCAGTTCTAATTTTACTGATTTGAACTGTAAAATACAGTACTTTTTTTTTTTTATATATCAGACGCTTTGTTGCCAAACATTAAGCTTTTGCTACCATAGAATAATAACAATGAAAATGCGTCAAGTTTTACGATTTTTATCGTTTGAAAGCTGAATTAAGCAAGAAAAATTACATTTATTTACAGAGAAGCAAATATAAAATCCCAATAAATAAATCTATGTATCAAAGAATACACAAAAAAATTTTTACAAATTAAAATCTAATTCGAAATAATCTCGCGAACCTTCAAATAATTTACAAAAAGTATCAAATAAAATTTAATAATCCATAATACAAAAACTTATCTTAATTGAACACCGGAAATGTAAAACTGTTTCAAATTATATATCATGTAAGCAAACATTATTCCAACCCTTATCTGACATAAAAGTAACGTAAAACTATTTTTTTTTTTACGTGATTCCAATTGCTGGGGTTCAATGCAGTTCATTTCTACATGATATTTCTGGTGTAGAAAAGCAAATAAAAAAAAAAAAAAAAAATGGACAAAGCAAAAGTAAAAGCGAAAAATTTCCACTTTCTTATTGCTAAAACAAATCACATCAGCCTAAAGTTAGTGATTGGCATTCAACCATTCTAATATCTGATTTTTAAGATCATCAACTTCCTCATCTTCATCATAGCATGCTTTTATTAAGCGTTCACTCTCTTCTCGCAAACGGTCTAATCTGTTTTCTACCTCTTCAAATTTTTCTCTTGTACAATTGACATTTTTCTCATCTATAAAAAATTTTCAAAGAAAATAAAACTAACAATGTACTCAGTATTTCTATAGTGTTATCTGATAATGTCACCCGAAAATGGTACGGTTGTGATATATTACTTTAACAGTGTTATAAATTGTTACAAATTCCACAACTGGACCAGGTAATTAAAGAAAATTGGAATTGCTTGAAATTATCATTGCA